TACAACATCTAGACTCACTAATAGGGTTTCGTGGGGTACGACTATATTATTAATTTATTTACAAATTCAAGGAATTTTTTATGAAATGATGGGATTGGACAGTTATGATGGAGAGTATATTACTTAGAAATTTTGAGGAATTTGGACAGAGGAGAATTTATGTCAGCGACTATGGGTCTGAAAGGAACGTCTTGTTTGTGATTTTAGGGATGCCATAAAGTTTGGATTATGGATGTAAATTTTTTAAGTGGATGAAAGGTCTTTTGAAATTTGTTTATGGGACACTAGGTTGTTGATTAATTGTGAAGAGAACGGTTAATGCGTTCTGTCGGATCAGAAATAATTGGAGAGTAAGTATTGGTATCGGATACTAAACTTGAGACTTTTTCCAAATATGTGTTGTCTATCTACAATAACTGTGACGTTACGTTTATCGGCTCTAGGTACTAACAAATCAGGATTATTTTTTAAAAAGATTTTGCAATCTCTAATATCTCTCAGGATGTCTTTGTACTCTATATTTTTCTTTGAGTTAAAGGATTATATATATATATATATATATATATATATATATATATATATATATATTGTATGATTCTGAATTTGATGTCGACATATGTATTAACAAAGTCTAATAATCGGGCATAACATCAATAAAACATGAATTTCTTTCAAAAATTTATTTTAAATCCATACGTTTCGACTATAATTTTAGCCTTCATTTAGTGGAAACTAAAGTTATTAAAATTTTTCAATTTCAAGATTAACTAATTAAAGTACTATTTACTATTTTATTTTTAGTTTCCACTGAATTTTTGAACGAAATATATATATATATATATATATATATATATATATAGTTAGAATTAAGCTTGCTCTAAATCTACGTTAGGCGTCTTAGATTTTATCCTATATTCATAAATAATAATATCAATAACAACTATGATATAAATAATATTGATAATAACATGATTAGGAATATTTTTAGTAAAAGTAAGTACATCGAACCAAATTCTTGAAACATAAGCATTCGAAAGTAACGCATACTAGTGCATTCGAATATATGTTTGCATATTACTCTTGAATGTTTCAGCGACGTACAATTTATCATTCTTTAAAATACTGAGATAATTTTTAACAGACATATTGTTTTAGACATTATTGTTTCGAAAGTAGTAAAGTAACGCATACTAGTGCACTCGAATATATGTTTGCATATTACTCTTGAATTTTTCAGCGACATACAATTTATCATTCTTTAAAACACTGAGATAATTTTTAACAGACATATTGTTTTCGAAATTAATATTGGTGTTTCGAAGAGCCATTTCTATATTGTTATCATGCCAGCCTTCGTATATAGGCGCTCCGACGGAACTGATGTTACCGGTATACATTTATTTTTTTCGGTTTCTCTGGTGAAATTCTTTTCAACATTTAAAATACTGCTCTGTCCAGCCGCCTGCAGCATTTGCGTCCTAAAATATGCTCTTTAATTTATTGATATTGATAACTTTCTATAAACATTGTTCAAAAATCACTCTCACATAGTATTGCAAGAATTATTAATTTGATGTTGAAAGCGATTGTATGCTTTTGAGTATTTTTAACTTTTGCATTAAATGCCCTTTTCCAGCTTCTTGGTACATGCCATGAACAAAGTAAATGGTTGTTTGTCGAAGTCATGACAGATGACCATGCCTTGTAATATGCAGGCAATTAAGGTGACAATTTTTTTTACTTTACTACTATTGAACTACAAATTTTCTCAAAAAATAATTTAAATACAGTTTTGTCTTGCCGATTGGTGAAACAAAATGCTACGGGATAACCTACCCCAAACTCATCAATCACAAGAAGAGTATGCAGGTTAAATCAATAAGAATTTGCACCATGAGATCCATCTATGCATGTTTTATCATGTCTATATTCATTTAAAATAGTGGCCTGCACTATAGTCATTATGACCATAAAAAGATCATCTTCTTCTAGCACATCATGTTCTACGTTTTATTATTATTATCTTTATGGGTAGGGTATGGTAGCACTGCTTTGCACTTGATGTTTCGAACATCTTTCTTGGTAAGTATTGAGCGCTCAATGGTAAAATTTCTTCATATGCTGCATTTTGAATACTGATGATAATTTTATTATCCGAAATTCCTGCTACTACTACTTAATAATGGTGGCGTATTCTCGAAATTTATTCTATAAATTGGGAACAATTTTCCTCATATCTTTCAATGATTCTATGGCGTTGCTTGCTATAGGCGTGACTGGTTTATTTAGATATAAATCTATTTCATCACGTCTTTTATTTCCTTCATTTTCTCTGACGCTATTTTTTATGTAACTGCCAAAAGTCGAAACTGTCTGGCGTGGCATCAATATCTAAACTTGTAGTAGAACTGTTCAAACAAATTTGATTTTTCAATGCATTTATTGCATTTGAGGCAGCATTGGTGTTTTTAAAATGCAAGTTTTTAAAGCGTGGATCGAACAATGAGGCAAGAATGGACGGAATGAAACTTATTGACAACAAGGCTTTTGTAGGATCCAATGAAAGCACTGCAAGAAGGTTTGCGATTATTAACCCCGTGACTTCTAATACTACCAAAAAAATTTCAAGAGGGTCTTAATTAAAATTACGAGTTGACAAAAATTTAATTTCCGGACACTTTATTTTCTGCCAAATATATTCGAAACCAATGCTCTAAAAAAAAATTTTGAATAGTTGGTGGTGTTTTGGTTGTGTTGGTGTTTAACTCTCTTGTCTTTCTTATAGAAGCATATGCTTTTTGAAACATGTCTAGCTTCCTTCCAAAATACTAAATGCTTAGACTTACCTGTAAAAGCACTGCCTAGACCTAGGCCCTAGAGGTTTATAGTCACTGGCAGATCTGGAGGCTGTTTCATTTACACTGTCAAACAGCTCTTCTATGAATTTCAGAAAATCGACAGTCCCAGTACCTTCTTGAGGAAAATTATCATCTAGAATACGATTAAAAGAGGTTGAATTATAAATGCGATTAAATATATTTTACATTATTTTCATTTACTCACACTGCTTAGTAGCATATCTGTGCATCATTGAAGAAACGCTATAAGAGAACACCACTGCAGCATCCTTCACTCTAATCTTCCTCATTTTGTCAGGATACACGTTATGTGCTCGTAACTTCTAGCACATGCGGAAATTGGGCAACTCTGAATTAATTTCGAATATCTTTATTATATGGCTTCCGAATGCCTTTTTTGTTGATTACGTTGAATAAAAGTGACATCATATGATGAAAAGCTGTTTCTCAAACATTTCAACATATGTGGCGAATCATAAAGTGGTATGATTTCCTGATCACCAACAAGAAAGCCTTGAAGTTTGCAACTTCTATCTTCTTTGAGAAACTGTGCTCTTGTCTCGTTAAGCAACAAGTTGATTGCGGCAACATTTGTAGCATGCTGATCACATACAGTGACTACAACATTGAGACCAATTTCCTGCAGGCTTGATATATCGTCTCTTATACAAACTTTAAGTTCAGCGCTTTTGACACTACTTTCAACAAAGTGTAATGCCTCTGATGTTTTAAAGTGGCCACGAATGCCTTTATTCATGAATACTAAAGCATGGTCCGCAAACTTTGATCTCCTTTCTGAAACCTCCTTGAAGCCTGTTATGTTATCCTTACTCTCGTCATAATCAATGCCTGCAGAAATGCTTATTTCGTCAAACATCAGAACACAGTTTCTATTAGATGGATCCATATTCAGAACAGAAGTACGCAAAGTCTCCACGAAAGTTTTATTGATACCAGAGCTGATCGGAATATTAGCCAAGGACTAGATAAAAAGGTAAGGTAAAGGTAAAAAGGTAAAGATAAAAAGGACCTCCAATATTTGTAACAGGATGGACTCTGTTTGTACAATGCGATCCCCCCCAGTGTTTTTTCATCGAGGTTGTATCTTCTTCCTTTAGGCTATGTTAAGGCGCGAAGCTTAAAAATTACTTCTACGTCTAAACCGGTGTTGTCGTTTACTTATTCTAACCACTACACTTTTAATTTGTTCTATAATGGAACTGCTGGTGTGATCGGTGATTAAATAAATAAAATGCGACTTTTAATATTAGTATGTTTATTATATAAAAAAAAGAATATATTGAATATAAGGGCATCAGATAGTTAGTCTTTCTATGCTGAGCTCTGAACTTATACTAAATAAAAATTATTAAAAATTAGGATTAACAATATTAGCCCCGCCCGTAAGAGGATTTGCCAATTAAAAAATGGCCAGGAGTCAATGGATTTAAATCATTAGGATCGGAACTCAAAGGAGAAATTGGCCTGGAATTTAAAATAGCTTCGATCTGTGTTAAAATTTTATAGAAATCTTCAAAGGTAAGGCATGCATTTCCTAAAATTCGCTTTAAATGCGACTTACATGATTTTATACCGGCTTCCCAAATACCTCCAAAATGGAGTGATTTAGCAGGAATAAAATGCCAATTGATGCCGTCGTCACTTAATGATTTCAAAACATTACTAAGGTTATTTTTGCACAAAAAATTAGCTAATCTTTTAATTTCCGACGATGCCCCGACAAAATTTGTTCCGTTGTCTGAATAAATGTTAGTGGGTTTTCCCCGACGTGCGATGAATCGTCTGAGTGTAGCTAAAAAGCATTCTGATGTTAAATCCGATACTAGTTCTAAATGAATGGCTCGCGAACTAAAACAAATAACTAGGCATATATACCCTTTAATTTTTTTATACCCTCTAGTACGACGATCTCTCAACATAATCGGATCTTAAAGTCCACGCCGCAATTCGTGAATGGCAAATGGGGAGTGACGTGGTTTTTTGGTAAATCGCCCATTAATGGGGAAGTAGAAGTAGGATTAACCTTGAAGCAGATAACGCATCTTCGTATAATACCTTTACACAAATTTCTACCGTTGATTGGCCAGTATGTCTCTCTGAGCGTATGTAACAAGTGTTGCGCTCCAGAATGAAAAGATTTTATATGTTCATATCTGGCAATCAATGATGAAAGTGCATGATTTTTAGGTAGAACCATTGGGTGACGCTTATCGTAACCTAAGTCAGACAACTTACCGTCAACTCTCAAAATACCATTTTCGTCTAAAAATGGGTTGAGAGATTTTAAATCTGATTTAGTTTTTATTGGCTCGTGGTTTGATAGAGACTCTATTTCATTTTTGAATCTTTCATGTTGTGCTAATTTAATTAATCTTACGCGAGCATCATTAATTTCGGTGGTTTTTAATTCACCGTGGATACAGTCGCCCTTGTTCTTGGCCTTGTTCTTGCAATTTTTAAGGAACCGAACACAATATCCAATGACCCTAACTAACTTTGTATATGATGAATACATATTAAATATATTAGTTGTGGTTTGTTCTATTACTGTTAACGAAACATGTTTAATTTCTTCTTCGGTTTCTGATATGAAATCTGCGCCAAAAGAAAGTTTGTCAGTGGTATTCAACCAAGATGGATCGAACCACCACAAATCTGAATTAATTAATACTTCCGGTAACATTCCTCGCGAAATTAAATCGGCAGGATTATCTTCTGATCTAACATGGTACCAATTGTTTGGATCCGTATTGGTTTGGATCTCCGAAACCCTATTAGCAACAAACGTTTTCCACTTGTGGGAAGGCGATTTAATCCATGCTAGTACTATTTTTGAATCGCTCCAAAGCATTTCGCGATTAATGGAAATTTCTAAATTATCTTTAACTTTATTAACTAATTTTGATAATAAATGAGCCGCGCATAATTCTGAACGCGGCAATGTGATGTTTCGTAACGGAGCAACCCGCGATTTTGCCGCTGCAATATGTACTGAGCAATCCATGTTATCTTCTATATATATAAAAATAAGTCGGGTTTTCCTTCCTGACGAAATAACTCCAGAACGCACGAACCGATTTCGACAATTTTGCATTCATCGGAAAGGTCTCGGGCTCCACAAGGTTTATAGCTAAGAAAATTAGTTGTGCATGGCATCGTGCTTTAATGCAAGTTGCTGGAACTTCACGCACCGTAATTAAAAATTCAAATAATGACGTTAGTGAGAGTTATCAGAATTATGCTTGGTTAAGTTAACGAGCAATTCTTGCCGCAAAGAATAATGATGTACACGCACTGAATTTCACCATTCAATCAAAAATTGCTGGCGATTTGGTGACATACCAATGATTCCGACTGGTCTTCCGTTTGACTTCAAACGATTGCAATTTCCAGTTCGCTTTGCGTTCGCAATAACAAGTCGCAAGGCCAATCGCTTAGTGTTTGCGGGATAAATTTCAAATAGATTATTTAGAAAATCATTGTTTTTCACATGGGCAGTTATACGTTGCCTGTTCACGAGTTGGAAAACCATCCGCTTTGTTTGTGTTAACGTCAGACCAAAAACCAAAAAATTTGGTTTACCAAAGAGCACTTCAATGAAACGGATAATTTACGGATTCACTTTCATTTACTTTGAGAAGTTCAACTAAAAAACAATTCATTTTTGTAATCGAAATAAATTCATTACTGTTGTATAATAAAATCAATTTTTTTCTTTTCAAATATAAAACAAACAAAAAATTTCTTCATCTTTCTCACGAAACCATCTGGTGGCGAAACGGAGTTCGTCGGGTTTGCTAGTTATTAATAGTTTTTATGTATACACAAGCACCGTAGGCGCTTTCAGATGCATCGGCAAATCCGTGTAATTCACAAATGATAGGATGGTGCAAATACATATGTCTATTAATATTGATGTTATTGATAAATTTTAAATTATTACAAAATTGTGACCATGTTTTGGTTATTTTTGATGGTACTTCTTCGTCCCATGATAATTTGCACTTCCATAACTCTTGCATGATTAATTTTGGAATTATAACTACTGGCGCTAACAGGCCTAATGGATCATAAATTTGAGCCGTAGTGGCTAATATTGTCCTCTTACTGATTTTATTACTTATAGTGATGCTGTCTGCGGCAATGTGATGTTTCGTAACGGAGCAACCCGCGATTTTGCCGCTGCAATATGTACTGAGCAATCCATGTTATTATTAATAGTTTTTATGTATACACAAGCACCGTAGGCGCTTTCAGATGCATCGGCAAATCCGTGTAATTCACAAATGATAGGATGGTGCAAATACATATGTCTATTAATATTGATGTTATTGATAAATTTTAAATTATTACAAAATTGTGACCATGTTTTGGTTATTTTTGATGGTACTTCTACGTCCCATGATAATTTGCACTTCCATAACTCTTGCATGATTAATTTTGGAATTATAACTACTGGCGCTAACAGGCCTAATGGATCATAAATTTGAGCCGTAGTGGCTAATATTGTCCTCTTACTGATTTTATTACTTATAGTGATGCTGTCTGTTGTATATGCAAATTTATCAGAGTACGAATTCCATACCATCCCTAAAGTTTTAATTTGTTTCTCGCTGAAATTTACGATATAATCTTCACTTTGAAAGGCTACGTGATTTCTATTAAATTTTCGTAGATTAAATTTGGCTTGATTTAAAATCTTCATAAATTTTGCTTTATAGTTTTTAACTGCGGTAGAGTATCTGCTCCGGTAATTAGATCATCTACATAGAAATCCTTTCTAATTATTTCGCATTCAATGGGGTAAGTTTCATAATTTTCCTTGCACAATTGTTCAAGACATCTTATGGCCAAAAATGGAGCAGATGCTGTACCGTACGTTACCGTATTTAATTCGAAACATTTTATAGAATCATTAGAATTATCGCGCCAAAATATTCTCTGAAACTTCCTATCATCCTTGTGAATTATAACTTGCCGATACATCTTTTCGATATCAGCTGTCAAAGCGTACTTGTGCCGTCTAAATCTTAAGAGAATGGAAAAGATATCCTTTTGTATCGTCGGCCCTACTGCTTGTAAGTCATTGAGGGACCGACCGTTACTTGTCTTACATGAGGCGTCAAATACCACCCTCAGCTTGGTGGTTAAGCTTTCCTTTTTAATCACCGGATGATGAGGCAAATAATAAGCGTTTGTTGGTTCTCGAAATTCATTAACCTCTCGCATATGACCTAACTTTAGATATTCAACTATGAAGTTTTTATATTCTTTGAACAATTCTGTATTAGCCTTAAAACGTTTTTCGAGAAGAGCGAATCGTTTCAATGCAATTTGTTTCGAGTTTCCTAATTCAATTTTATTATATTTAAAAGGTATTCGAACGACAAATCGTCCGTCAAAATTTCTATTAGTATGTGCCACAAAATGACGTTCACATTCTAATTCACAATCACTAAAACAATTTGCATTTTCAACCTTCTCTAATTCCCAAAATTTTTCTACATTATTATTTAAAATTGAAATTTCTGAGAAGTTACAAAACGTTTTATTTGTTAAATCATGTGATTGAATTGTTCCCGAAATAATCCACCCTAATGCAGTATTTTGCAAGATCGTATTAGTATTGGGCAATTTAATAAATCCCTTTCGTAGCAAACTCCAAAATAAGCCTGCTCCCAATAACATATCGATCCTACCACTGATATTAAAATTTCGATCGGCTAATTTTATACCGCGAGGAATTTTCAAAATGTTTGTTGAAAACGAAACCGAAGGCATATGACTTGTTATTGACTTTAAAATTAAACATGATATGTTGCTTGAATACGAATTTATATTTGATTTTACCGAAACTTCTGTTTTGTGACTAACATCCGATAAAGATTGACTAATACCTGAAACGGACATCTTTATCGGTTGTGTTTTTAAAGAAAGCTTTTTTGAAAATTCTTGCGTTATAAAATTAGATTGTGAACCGCTATCCAACAAGATTCTAGCTGGAACCCAAGCGCCGTTCTTATTCAATGCTGATATGACCGCTGTCGAAAGTAAGACGTGTGATTTAATTTCATTACTAAAAAATGATGTGCTAGGTACAGCATCATTTGAGGGTTTTTTCGATGGCTCTTCGCAATGCAACAGGGTATTATGTTTTTCGTGGCAAACTACGCAACGAAATGAAGCTGGGCAATTATCAATATGGTGATTTGTATTTAAGCAATTAGTACATACATTTAATTGATTTGCTCGCGATATTCTTTCCTTCACTGTTAGTTTTTTAAAATCCTCACATTTGAATAATAAGTGACGTTTCTTGCATAATACACATTGCATTGCGTTTGAGATCGCATATGATTTTGTAATTCTATCGGTTCTTAATGGCACTTGTTTATGGAATTTGATAATCGGAACCTTATCATAGTGGAGCGATTCAAAAACCTGGCACCGATAATCCAGAAACTTCACCAGATCGGAAAATTTTGAAATGTCCGAACTTTTATTGTTGGATAGCTCCCATTCGCGACGAATTTCCGAATCCACCTTACTTAACATTAAATATATAATCAATGAATCCCAATTATTGACAGGCTCACCTAACGCTTCTAAACAACGTAAATTTTTATTGAAGCTATCCACTAACTTTCTTAACATTTTAAAGTCTTCTGCCTTCATTTCCGAATGATTAAACAAATTTTTAATATGGTTATTAATTATCAACTTTTTATTTTCGAACCTATCTTTAAGTAATTCCCAAGCAATCTCGTAATTTACTGCTGACGATGGCAATGAATGTATAACGTTTGCAGCTTCATTTTTTAAGCAAGATTTCAAATAGTAAAATTTCTGGGCATTGCTAAGATTGGTATCATTATGAATTAGTGCCGTGATCGAATTATAAAACTGCAACCAATTACTATAGGAGCCGTCAAACGTTGGTAAAGCGATGTTCGGAAGCTTTATATTGTTATTGAAAATTTGAGTTTGTTCGCTAATACTATTACTTAACTCGGGTTTTGGTATTTTAATCAACAATTCATTTAAAGTATTTTTTAATTTGTCGCTTAAATCTAAGACTACCGGAAAATCAACGTCATATAATTTATCTGATTCTTCTTCATCATCTAAAGCTTCTGCCATATTATTAATAACAATTTCATATTTTTCTTCTAAAACGACCAGCTCTCTAAGTGTTGCTTTATGATTTCAACATTTAATTCAGACAACGGTTTTTTTAATGACGCGTTACAAATATTATCGAGTCTTGTGAAATGCGCTTTTAATCCGCGTTTCTTATATTTTAATGATTTTACCGATTCCATCTTTTTCACAGATCAAAACAACTTATATAAAAAAAAGGATGTATTTAAGCAATAAAGGAATCCTTGAGGAACGTACTTGACTGACCTTTTTTGCTGTCCCGCTGTGCCTTCGTTGTTGCCTGTGTAGAATCTCAGCTGTTCCGTTCGGTTTGCTGCGTCCTCACGGTGTTAACACTTGTTGGTTAACTTTTTTGTATTTTATTTAATAATTTGATTTGTGATTTTATTAAATTCAATCAATGATTTTTATTCATTTATTTGTGGTATTATTAAATTTAATCATTTTCATTCTATTTACTTGATCTTAATTTAATAATAACTCACTTGAATTTATTATTTTTATATGTGATTTTATAAACTAATCACCTTAAATTTATAATATTATTAAATTTAATCACTTGCACTATAGATCTGATTTTAATTTAATAATTGACTTTGATATTTTAGCGGACTGTATTATGCTGGTTTATTAATTAACTATGAAGTCCAAAAACTCAAATTTGGAACGATCATAAAAGTCCAAATAATAACTACCCGGTTTGTTTGAACCAATGTTTATGGTCCAAATCTTCTAATTAATTATTTGGTTCGTCTGGACCAATGTTAAGGCGCGAAGCCTAAAAATTACTTCTACGTCTAAACCGGTGTTGTCGTTTACTTATTCTAACCACTACACTTTTAATTTGTTCTATAATGGAACTGCTGGTGTGATCGGTGATTGAATAAATAAAATGCGACTTTTAATATTAGTATGTTTATTATATAAAAAAAAGAATATATTGAATATAAGGGCATCAGATAGTTAGTCTTTCTATGCTGAGCTCTGAACTTATACTAAATAAAAATTATTAAAAATTAGGATTAACAATATTAGCCCCGCCCGTAAGAGGCGGGTTACATTAATTTCTACATATACGGGGGATGATTTCTCGGACTTAATATATCTGAGAAGGATGATTCCTTGAAATTATCTGAAGGCATTTTGCAGACTCATAAATAAAATTACCGACGCCGATGTAGACAGTCCAGACATACAACTAACATCAAAAGTAAAAAATATCTTATATTACAAATGCATCTAGCACTTGAACTGTGAATGACATTAGACCACCTAATTTAGACCACCTACATCATAGTCCGGCGACATTCTAGTCTAGACGACGACCCTTATGAAAAATAGTTCATGTTACACTCGTAATAATATAATTTATGAATTCTTAACAGGCTATTTCGGCTGTTTTTTCATCTGGCATTTGATCAATGTCGCAGTTATTGAATTGACAACATTTTAAACTTCTTTCATGTTGTTTGTACTGCAAGCCTCCTTTAGCTTAGCTCTGGCAATTTCATGATTGTTTATAATTCGTCTGGCACTTCTCTTCATTGTCATAATTATATCATGACATTTCTTTAATTGTGATGTAAGTCAAGGAATTTTTCCTTGGTGTTCGAATATCTAAGAAAATGAATGATTTTATTAGTGAAAATAAGAAATATATCTTTTCAAGAAACGTTGAAATACCTGATCATCTTGTAGTAATATGAGGTACATTAGCAGGAACATCTGGAACAACCGGAATATCTGGAACATCTGAAACATCTGGAACGTGCGCATATATATCCACTGAAATTTAATTTATAGTTATTAATTTGTCTAAAATTTCAAGTAAAAGTTATATGAAACCATTTTAAATAACCTTCAATAAGAGAAGAAGCATCTAGGAGTTCAGATTGCAAAGCAGTAATTTTATTTCAAATGACAATTTCCTGCAAGTGGCAATTCATTTGATATTAATGGCACTGAAAAGTGCATTGTAATAATGGTTTTGCACTTTTTTATGCGATAAGAATAACACATGTTATGTACATTTTATTTACTTAAAACCATAATAAAAAAAAATTATTGAACAGAGGAAAGATAGGCAAAATAATATACAGCATGTTATCCATAATCAATAAAAATTATTGGATTTTTATTGTTTTTTTTTTCAATTTGGAGGTTGTTTGAAGGGGAAAAAATAAAAATCCAATCTGTATATGTTTTTGAAAAAAAAAACAAATTTTTTCTCTCGAATTTTCCATAACATTTGTCATTTTAGTATTTTGTTTTTTTAGTTATTTTCTGTCAAAAGTTTTCAAAATGTTGACATGAAAAGTGAAAAGTCATTTGTCAATATTCATTAAAATAATTAGATAAATAAATTTACAATTTATATTTATTTGATTAGCTTACCAAATTTTTTCGGATACCAAAACTTCAAACCATTATGATCACAATAAAAAAGCGACTTATTGAATTTAAAATTAATCATAAACAAAGTTTTGACAGTTCAAAAAAATGAATTTTTAACGACTCCAATAAGAAACAAATAAATATAATACCTCAATTAATTGGATTTAAAATAAGGACATTGTCTAATATTTATAAGAATTATATAAACAGTATTTCATAGTTAAAATTAATTATTGAAAGTATTATATATGAGATGTTTACAGAGCTTTAGCTACAATTAGAATTAAAATTCGAATTATTTTCGATATTCAAAAAAAAAAATGAAAATTAAAAAAAATTCTTTTCCCTTTCTGCCATTTTTTGCACATTTTGCTTCGTAACTCTAAAACGGCTGGACCTGTCTTTGTCAAAAACCACCAGTTTTCTCTATCATTACGAGTTGAAGGTTTTTTTAGATCATTTAAAACGGTTGTTCCGTACGCCCAAAATCGTCGACAAAAAATTGTATCCACACATACACACACACACCCACACCCACCCAAAAAAAACACCCACCCACACACTCATTTTTTCTAAAGTGTGCCAAAATGCTAAGAAACCTCTGTAATGTAAAGATATGCAAAAATTTTCAATTACGATTTTTCGACAATTAAAATAACTTACCCTACGGGAAATTAATAATACTAATAATAGAAAATACACATTGACAATAACTTACTTTTGATTTATATTTATAGTTAAATTACATGAAGTTGAATTAGTTGAATTTTATTATTAATAGTACATGTATAATTACTTCCGCTGAGCACGTCCATCATCCCTGTCTTTTGCTCCGGGCAGAAAAGCACTAACGGAAGAAATTACCGCATTTTTTTCTGGTGAAGATTTATATTTCGTCATAATGAATTCTGAAACAATAATAAACTAATATAAATAAATATTTGAATAGAACAATGACTTACTCTCTATAATTTTGTAACTTTCAGTTTCTCTAAAACTTTTTTCCCTTGCCTTTTACTTTACTCCACACCCGCTATATTCTAGCTGAACTTCTTTTTTAAAAATTTTCTCCATTATTTTGTGGACATCTACTACATACTTAGTACAACCCGCCGAAACCATTTGAAATACGCCGGTCTATAAGAATAAATCCTTTATTAAATTATAATCCATATTTGTAAATGATATTTATATCATTTTTTGTTGTGAATTTTAAGTAATAATTAATGACTTATGAATATTTTATTTGTAGAAAATATCTAAATTTTATAAATACCAATGCATTTCGTTTTTCCTCGCCTTCTTTCAAGGAGTTCTCGAAGGCTAGAAACGACTCAATACTTTCACAGGGCAAAACATCGCCGATCATACTCCATGCTCTTCGCTTGTTTAGGACATATCCTATCTGCTGTACAATTTCTAACATTTTTTTGAATTGCTGTCCGATGGTATAATTCAAGCTTTTTTTAATTTCGTCATTTCGAGATGAATTGTATTTCGAAATGAATTCTAAAAATAGCGCCAGTTGCTCATAGTTTTGGATATCTAGAAATTGTACAATAAACTAGTTGGTATTGGTATTTTGCCTTGAGGCAAGTTACATGAACTTCCCGACTAATGTAAATAATCGACTTAATCAATAAAAAAAAGATTTATTAATTATTAAAAGTATTCCGAGTGGATTTATAACACATAATTGAAAAAGAACGAACACGTTAACTCGGAGTATTTTCTAAACACAACTTTTCAAAAAAACAATAATTTGTATAATTGAACCAGTTTCCGTGGGACTTTAACACTATTCCTACCGACATTTCATGTTTGCTATTCCTACCGCGACCGGTCAAATGACCGGTCATGCAAAATCGGTATTTTTCAGTATTGAATGAAGAGTTAATGCTAGTTTAAGAGTTTATAAATACAAATACAATATATTTCTTTTATTTTATAATGCGAATTCTACATTTTATACTGTTTTATCCAATTTTTCACGATTTTTTTTCTTAGAGTGTATTTTCTGCACACGCATTTTTTACGTTTTTGGCTGATTTTGTTTTCTCTATCATTTTTCTAAAGCATTATCTGGAATAGTTTCTTTT